TTTTTGGCCACTGTAGCGTTACTCGTTTTTGGTCACTGTAGCGTTGCTCTTTTTTGGCCACTGTAGGCCAAAACGCATAATGTCGAGTGATTGCCTTGTGTGGGTGTGTGTGTGTATGTGTTCGGAAGCGAGTGAACTTTGTCATCCACTTTCAAGTCAGCAACAGGAAAGTTAGGAGATTGAAATTTGGGGGTCATATTTCCACCTCTTATGTCATCCTCTCTTTTTAAAGTCTTTGTTCATAAGCATCTAGATGTAGCGTACGCATCCCCCGAAAGAAATATGCGAATTTCTTGGGCGGGAAACGATTTCCTGAACAGGCAAGGTAGAAAGCTGGAACTTTGCACAGATATTCTCTGTGCAGGTATGAGCTAAAGACTTAAAATTCAGCAATATGCTGAGCATATTTTGATGGTCGCGTCAAAATTTGCTTTTGGCACTGTGATAACTCAAAAACTGGCCGGAAGACAGTTGCTTAAGCCTTGCCAGAATATTTGTTGTTCATAAAGAAAATCGTATACCTAAACTGAATTTCGATTCACACTTGTGCCACGACTAAGGACACTTCAAAGATATTTGTGGGTGGGAAAGTGGCTATTTCACTTACCAGACAAACTGCGAAGCTGGAACTTTGCAAGGATATTAAGTATTCACATGCAGTCTTAATTTAGTTTGGAGATGAAATTCCCTGCACACAAATATGAAAAATTTTACGGCTTACTCAAAAACGAGTGCGCTTTGCAGATCTCTTAATCCTATTCTGATTTTCTTCAAATTTGCCTTTTTCAATGAACGAGCATTTACCGAGAAAATGATTGCGCTCCATACAAAAAACTGGTAATCATGCACACCAGAGGCCCATACAATCTCATAATGTAACACCTTCATCCCTGCATGTGGAAAAAAGTTAAAGCACAGCCAATATAAGTCCAAGTGTTACGCTATAATGTAGGAACCATTCCTGCTGTTAGCGGTTTGCAAGTTTAGCGCAAAAACGCATGAACACACCGACAAGCCTGGTGCGTTATAGCTTGGTTTTTTACTTACATGAGCTGTCAGTACTGCCAAGTTGGTCGGAACAATTGTTTCGGATCCCCATATTATTGACATTGCTGTCATGCTCCTGTCATCGGAACGCAGCTGTTTCGGCGAATTAATAGATGAAGTCCATTTAACTGGCT